AAGTTGAGAGAGGAGAGAAGGACTATCAATGAGATTGTTTAATAATTTAAATACAAAAAACAATATCAAAGTAATCCCTTCCTAGTGCCAGTTCAAAAAGTTTAAATTCAGAGCGGATTCCAGGGTAGGCAGAATTCGGAGGAAGGTTGAGTTTGTAGGAGTTTTTTTTTTTTAATTTGTTTTGTACAGATTGAAGAATTTTTTGATAATTTAGATAGAATGGGTTCCAAACAGGTGTAGCATATTCTAGTATGGGTTGTACAAAAGCTTTATAAAGATGGACAAAGAATAGAGGATTTTTAAATTCATAGGTGTTCCGGATGATGAAACCTAGCATCTTCATAGATCTATTTTTTATTGAAGAAATATGTTCTTTAAACTTGAGCTTTTGATCAAAAAGTACACCAAGATCCTTTAAGACCTCAACTCGCATTAAAAGAGCATCATGATATAGTGATAAATAAAAGGTTGTTTCTTATGAGAGAATGTAATTGTGTAGCATTTGGAAACATTAAGAGCAATTTTGTTATTAGAGCACCAGGTTAGCACATTACTGATAGAATTTTGTAACTGTAAGCAATCAGAAGGAGAAGTGATTATGGAATAGATTTTCAGATCATCAGCAAATAATAAAAATTGAGCAGAATGGAGAGCAAGATGGATATCATTAATAAATAAGAGAAACAAAACTGGTCCAAGATGAGACCCTTGCGGGACTCCCGAGGAAGCCGCAAAGGGACACGAGAGCTTTTCTGCCGATCCACATTTTTAACATCATGGGCTGGATCGTGGAGGTTAAGTCGTGGCCATAGCCACCTCGTCCACCTTTTCACTAAGACCCATGTTTCTGGTTACAGTGATAACTTTTTTGACTGACAACAAGCACAGATGTCATAGTTAATAGGTCATACCTGTTGTAGCCATTAACACCCCTTTTTGCTTAATTATATTATGAAAATTTAATTATCAATTTCAAAAATTATTGTTTAAAAAAATCAATTTAGGGACCTTTATGTTTTTTAATAATTATTCTGGAAGCAGCCACAACGGTTTACACATTGATACAGCGCTCATCAAGGTAGGTCCCTGGTTCAAATCCAGAAGCCTTGCAAATGAACCCAAAATACTTTCAATTTTTTTCTCCCCCCCCCCAAAAAAAAACACCAATCCCCCGAGGGTTGATATAATCTCTGTCATTGCAAACCTGATTTTTAAAAAATTAGAATATGACTATGTATTTAATCAAATTTAAAAAATCAGCTGAACTCCTTTTCAAGAATTTGTTCAGTTTTAAAGTTTTAAATACTCGAACTGCAAAATGAATGCTGTTCATAATGATTTTGAATCATTTCTGTCAAGAAAAAGGAAATTAAACACTTCCTCCCGTGTTCTTAATGACAACAAGGTTACAACCAAAACCGTGGAGTCAAAACTCTCAGAAAAAGAGAGTCTAAATCTTGAGAATAAAGAAAAATGTTGTTACGTAGGCTTTGCTGATCTGCCGAATCAGATTTACCGAAAAGCAATAAAAAAAGGATTTGATTTCACACTGATGGTCGTCGGAGAATCAGGACTCGGTAAATCGACACTAATCAATTCTTTGTTCTTAAGTGACATTTATAACGATGAGTATCCAGGCCCTTCCCTGAGATTTAAGAAAACTCTTACGGTCGAAACAACAAGGGTGTTATTGAAAGAAAATTCAGTTAAACTCTTATTGACTCTTGTCGATACTCCAGGTTTTGGTGACACTATCGACAGCCGTAAATTTTGGCAGCCGATTGTTGACTACGTAGAAACCAAATTTGACAAAGTTTTGAAGAGAGAACTCCAAGTCAGCAAGAAAAAAGACACTGTGGATCCTAGAGTTCACTGTTGCTTGTACTTCATCTCGCCAACTGGCCACCATCTAAAAGAGTTGGATATCGAGTTCATGAAAAGAATCCATGATAAAGTTAACATTATCCCACTAATAGCAAAAGCAGACACCCTGACAACTGAGGAATGCGTTCAATTTAAGAAAACCATTTTACAAGACATCCAGCAAAACAATATAACAATCTATGATTTTCCTGAAGCCGAAGATCCTGAGAGTATGCAACTGAAGGAAAAAATTCCCTTTGCGGTTGTTGGAAGTAATTACGTTACAGAGATAAACGGTAAGTTGAAAATGTGCAGAAAATACCCATGGGGTATTGTCGATGTTGAAAACCCAGAACACTCAGATTTTACGTGTTTGAGGAAATTGCTCATCAGATCACACCTTCAGAGTCTTAAAGATCAGACGAACAACGTTTTTTATGAGAATTACAGGCGAAAAGTCCTATCGAGTATGGCGAAAAATTTAAAGCACCCAAACGTACACCCATTCTTACAGCTGTTCGTTGAAAAAAAGGAGCATGAGTTAAGGCTTAAGAAAACAGAGGAAGAGATGGAACAAGCCATGGTGGAAAAAGTCAATGAAAAGCAACAATCTCTTCTCGATTTGGCCTACGAGTTCCAGAAAAAGCGAGAACACATGAGAAAAAACTTAGACAACCAGTTCAAAGCATTGGAAGAGAAAAAGCAAGCGTTGGAAGCGGAATGGATCAAATTGGAAAAGCGAACAATTGTCGTAGAAGATGAATTTTGTCATGAAAAAGGAGGAAAACGAGAAAAGAATAGGTGTAATTGAAGTTTATTCTTAAGTTTTAAACTTAGTAATTAAAGATTTGTAAAAAAAAAAACTGTAAAAATTAACATTATTTAAATTTGTGTATTTATATCGCACCCCAATTCTTCCAAAGAATAGTAAGCGATATTAATCCATATACTGGGGGACCGCAGTAGCCGAGTGGTTAGCATGAGAGACTCTCACGCCGCGGTCGTGGGTTCGATTCCCACCGTCGCCTCTGGCCCTTTTTTCACAATAACCCCCCCCCACCAAATTTGAACACACATATATGAATTGTCACATGGCTAATATGCATAGTTCATAACGCAAAAAAAAAAAAAAAATTCCATATACGCTTAGCGGTCATAATTGACCATACTAATTATTTCAATTGTTCATTTTATCTAAGGTCTTGATTGAGATGAAAAAGTTAATGTCCCAAGCAGGATTCAAACCCATGACCTGCTGCTCTAACCACTTGAGCCATCATGACTTCGATCCATTCGGACACCAACTCCTCATCCTAACCTGCAACCTTTCGGATTTTTCCTCTTCTTGCCATTTTTCATTTTCACTCGTGACACTAACTTTTTCATTCACCCAAGACCTTAGATAAAAAGAATAATTAATTGAAATAATTAGTACGGCCAGTTTTGACCGCTAAACATATATGAATTATTATGTTAAAGAAGTTAATATTAAAAAAGTAATCACTTCGCTAACAGCTCCTCATGGCGACTTTATAAATCACTGAGAATTGAATGCTGATTACCCAACATTTAAAAAATGGCATAAAAAGGAAAATTCAAAAGGTTGTAGGTTAGGATGAGGAGTGGATGTTCAAGTGGATCAAAGTGGTTAGAGCAGGGGTTCGAATCCCGTTCATGACACTATTAATGGTAATGAGGATACTAGGATGTGGGGTTTGTCCCAGGCACCTGCAGCTTCTGGCTTGTACCTTCCTAGTTCCCTAGTTAAGTGCAATAGGCTCAACCCTTCTTCTTAGAAGCAGCAGGTCAATGACAATTTTATTCCCTTGATTTTTTTTGTGTGTTAGGTTAAATCTCCATTGAACCGTTGCTTCGCATTCGAAGATGATATGAGTAGTTGTTTTCTCCTCTTCATTAGATAATCTGCAGATAGGATCATCATTGTATATGCCCATGTTGTGTAGATTTTTCCCAGATGCGGGTGACCAGTTAGTAGTCCTACCACTCCCCTGAGATTAGCCCTCTCCAATTGCAGCAGTGATTTTGCCAGTCATCAAAAGTTTACTATGTCTAGCGCCGCTAATCCACTTCTTTTATTTTGTTTGGATCCATTCTGGGATGAAGGATTCTATTTTTTTTTTTTTTTTTTTTTTGGTATCCCAAGTGTAGGTTCGGGTCCTATGTATGGTCTCCTCTGGCCAGTGTGTCTGCTTTTTCATTACCCAAAATTGCTCTGTACCCTGGCACCCAGATATCATCAGGAGATTTTGGATGCATTCACTGACTAATTTTGATGTAATTTTTTTACATGCTAATGCTTTAATAGCTGCTCGGCTATTAGATCTTATGACGATTGTTTTGTCAGTGTAACTCTTTTGAGATTTTCAAGAGGACAAGCATTAATGGCATGTATTTCTGCTTGAAGGACCAAAGTGAATTTCCCCAATAAGTTTGACTGCTCATATCTTGAGCTTGCACAAAAAATACCCGATCTGGTTCCTTCAATTGTTTTGGAGCCATCTGTATACTGGTCATTGTATCTGATCCTTTCCTGAATTTTCCTCTCCTTTGTAGTCTGTTGAGACTTTATAGAATGTTGTAAAAAATGTTTCCAGAATCGGGATGCCCCAATTTTGACCTATTTTTATGAACAATCCGGGACAGCCAAGCATTCTAATTTTAACAAAACTAGTCAGACTTCATTTCCCCATCATTTCTAGGACTGGGCATCTGATTTTATTAATTATGGTTTCGTGCCCAATTTGTTTAGTTCCTACCCAATTTTATTGTTTTTGGATTATAAATGAGCTTTTCCTAGTCTCTCCTTGTATAAATATTTCCAGTGTAGGTAGGATTAGAAGTTTCTAGTGCACTTGTGGGGTCATTCTTACAGTGCTTTGAATCACCTATAAAAGATAGTTAAAATAAAAGACATCATGTTAAAATTTTAAAGAAGGCATATAAAAAAAAATATAATATGTAATAAAATATCTTTTAAGAGGTCGAATCATCTGACAATTTGAGTCCTTTAACACCCAGCCTATGAATATTATACAAAAATAAAAAATAAAAAATCTATCAAATAAATTATTAATTTTGAATAAAATGATGTACATATAATGCACAAAACAATTATCCAGTATTCAATTAAAATGATTTAATTTATTTTTTATGTTACAAAAATCATTTATGTACAGAATCATCATTATATTAGATTTCCAGATCATCATCTGGATCTTCATCATCCCAATCATCATTGTTATCAGGCTCATAGAAAATTGCTCCTTTAGGAGCTTGTGTTGTTCTAAAATAATAAGATTTATGATTTAATATTAAATTAAGGATAATAACACGATCTTATCTTACTTCAAATAAGGAAGAACTACTTGGCTTCGCGTCTCTTTCTCATTGTCTTCGAGGGAGAGTTTGAACGTAGTCAGCTTTGTTGGGTCCAGCCCAGAGGATTCTTTTTCCTCTTGTTTCACCTTTGAATATTCCAGCGTACCATTGGATTTATAAGAACAACAATAGCTCTACAAAGAAATTTAAAAAAAAAAAAACTTGTATTTTATTTATGTGAAAATAATTATTTACTGTCACCTCGTATGAAATTTTCCCAGAATACTTTTTATGGGTGACATCGGCTCTTGTACCTTTTGGAGTGTGTTTTAATTTAATAATACTGCGAGCTAATGTCCTGAGCTGTTTAATTTCGCTACTTTCTTCGCTATAATGATCTTTGTGATAAGTGCTGATCACCTGAACCCTTCGATTTTCTAAAATTGATATTAAATTGTAATATTTCCTCATGGGTACAAGGTGATCAACTCATAGGTCGGTCATTTCCGATCATTTTGATCTGCTTATGACTGGTTTGGTCTGTCGTTTTTCAGCTGTTTGCCATCTTCAGTGTTTTGTCACACAGATCCAACACTAAAGATATTAAATTCACTAATTTCGTGGTCCGCTTGACCAATTAATATATTACAATTAATTAAGGTTTTTAGTTGAGATAAAAAAGTCAATGGCACGAGCGGGATTCAAACCCACAATCTTCGGCTTGATACGCCGCTGCTCTACCACTTGAGCTATCGTGACCTCGATCCACTCAGACACCAACTTCCCATCTCAACCGCACCTTTTTGAATTTTCCCTCCTTTTTGCCATTTTTCCACTAAAGCTCTCCGTTGCCATTTCATTTGTCATCGAGAATCCAACCCGATTACACGACATTTGAAAAATGGCAAAAAGGAGGGAAATTTCAAAAAGGTGCGGTTGAGATGGGAAGTTGGTGTCCGAGTGGATCGAGGTCACGATAGCTCAAGTGGTAGAGCAGCGGCGTATCAAGCCAAAGATCGTGGGTTCGAATCCCGCTCGTGCCATTGACTTTTTTATCTCAACTAAAAACCTTAATTAATTGTACTAAATACAAATCAAAGCCTGGCAGACCAAATCAGCAAAGATTTACTATGACAGGAAGGCCAAAATGATCAGATATAAATTAAGTTAATCGAGGACGAGTTTTCTTATTATTCACCAACCATTGTTCATGTCAATGATGCTCCTCAATTTCTTACATAAATCGCTAAAAGACCAATTCAACAAAGTATACAACAATGAATCAACGACAATCAGATTTGTGAACCCGTTCTCCAACTTGGATTCTAACATTTTGGGATCCAGTGTAATCCCATTGTCACCTGAAAAAATAAGTCGCGTGAGAAATCAAACTGCAACGGTTTGTAAAAATTTTGGAATACCTGATTTATTCAGCCAGTTCCACGGGTCTTGGAGACAATGATAAAATGAGAAAAGCTTACAGCCCTCCACATCTTTGAGGTAGGAATAATAACTATTTTCATATGCGAAAAAAAGCACCCTGTTTCTTCTGTTCACATTTTCATTTACGAACTGTTTTATAAATTCTTGTCCCTGTAGATCATAATTATCTGTAAAACATATTTTACATGTTTAACAATTTTCAGCAAATCAATAAACACAATAAAGAGCATAAATATGTATATAAATGTAAATATTCCTCAGACAGCCAAGGGCTGTGAGTTTGTCCATTGTAAATTATTTGCACCTATTCTGTAATTTATTTATTTATTTTATTTTTTGGTATTAATAAAGATGTCCTTGATTGCACCTGATGGGAATTCTCCTACCAGCCAGGACTATACTACTAGAAAGATTATCTCAATAATTTTTATGTATATTAAAAATTGCATAAATAAAATATTTAATTTCAGCGGTGATTACAAAAATGGAGCAAAGAGCCCACAAAAGTAATCTTTTCATATAGAAGGGCTTATCCAACAACCCATCAGGTGCCCCTGGTTGGGTCAAACGAGAATGTTTTTCAAACTATTCTCAATTCCCTCGGCTATGCTAAAGTTTTTTTTAACTTTAATTAACATATTCTAAAAATACTTTAAAAACAACAGTTCCAATTATATTTTCACAGACACATTTAAAAATTTTATTATCAAGTTATACACACTGGGATTCTTGAATAGAGCTCTATTTTCCGTAATTGGGTGTTCTACTTCTTTCTCCAGATTCTGATAGAATTTATTTCTGGCCGATGAATGTTGGCTACAGTGAAACATTAAGTGCGTTTCAGGTCCTCCTTTACTCCGCATGTGTTGCAATTAGGGTGTTGTTTTATGCCAATCTTGTGAAAATACGCAAGATGCCATGGTTTGTTCTTAACCAATGTATGGTGGTTATGTCTTTGTTTTGCCATGTCTAGTTTGTTAAATCACGGTTTTATTTTCACAAGTGGAAATAATGTTTTATAGGCCATTCCCTTATCTGAGGCCAATTCAATTTGCCATTCTATTTGAAATCTTGTTTCCAATATTTGAAAAAGGTCTGTATAAGAGATCTTTATGATTCTAGGGGTGGGTAATTGTGTGGCATTTTTTACAAGTTTGTCGGCTTTTTCGTTGCCGTATATGCCCAGCCCATATATCCTTTAATGCACATGAAAGAGACCCTTTTTTTTTAAAGTGGAAAAATTGTTAACAGTCTTTTTTAATATCAGCTACAATATAATTTTTGATGTTAGTAGATGTGTTTTGCAAGCACTGGACAGCATTGCTGTCTGTGCAAATTATAATGTGGTTCGTTGTAGGAAGGTTGAGTGTAAAGAAAGTTAGCGCTGCCTTAATTGCTAATAATTCCACTGAATAAATTGATATCTCTGCCGGCAGAGGAATTGATTCCATTTTATTGATACTAGGGCAGAACCAGGAGCATCCGACATTACCAGACACGAGGGATTCATCAGTGTAAATAGTTAAGTGGTCATTAGGGAAAAGTTCCTGAAGATCAGCATGCACTTGTGCTAACCGCTATGGGATTTTGTCCAGAGTAGTCTTTTAGTATACAGCAGTTAATGCTAAAATTTGAACCCAGGACTGTTAGCATGGTAAATACCCACTCAACCACGACAGTCTCCCAAAGAACATATATTTCTCTATTTCAATTCCTTTTCTATTTATCTCTAATAGAACATTATTCTACATAACCAAAGTTTGAATTTGATTATTAAAATGTGCCAATGTAGTGGCTTATCATTAGTTTGCTAGATTGTTTAATGATTATTCATTAAGCATGAATTTGAGGCACAAAACTATTAATAAATAAAATTAAAATAAATTAATAATTTAAAAAAATATGTTACATGTACAATATTATTATGTAGATATACAGTGTATGTATAAACTGCCCAAATATGAATAGGGATATTGCCAATTTTATAGTATTTATTTTCTGTAGCATTTTAAATTTATTTTTATAAATTGCATTACCATTTATTAAAAATTATTGTTTTTTACTTTAGAAAAAATTAAAGAATTTTAAAAATTAACAAAATAAAAGGTTTTAATTCCATAATTTTGTTTATTGGACACAATATCCTCTGCTGGCTAAAACATCTGTGCATCTGTCAGGCAAACTGTTGCTAATTTCATAAGGAATTCCACTCCTTAGATGTTGCAACACTGCACTCAGTTGTTGTAGGTCGAAAAACCTTTTCTGTACCGCATCCCACATGTGCTTGATAGGATAGAGGTCTGGAGACAATAGAGGAAGGGGCGGCAGATAAGAAATTCCCAGGTTTTCTAAACATTGATGAACAACTATGAGGTCTGGCATTGTCACCCAGAAACCGAAAATCCCTACCAATGAGTCCCAGCGTTTCTGTCTGTACAGTGGTAGCAGGCTCCGAAGAGACTACCGAGAACAATGCATGTTTGTGCTCCCTTCAGTGCAATTTGGAGGAGGTAGTGTATTGGCCTGGGCTGGGAATTACACTGGAGGATAAACAACTCAATATTGTTGAAGGCGACCTCATCGCAGTCCCTCTGTCCAAGAAATTATCGAGAATTACATCCCTTGAACCAGGGATCTCATAGAAATGGTGAATGATGGAGTGAGTGCAGTGTTCAATCCTTTTTTTTTTTTTTAAGATAGTTCCTACTCACAGTAAGTTGTTTTCCAATAGCTCATCATCAGGTTGAAGGATTTTCGTGCAGAAAAGTGCTTTTGCATAGTGCTACTTTTGCAATTCATGTCGAGAGACATGGTTGTAGAAATCCTTCAACCTGACGATGAGCTAAGGGCTCGAAATCCAGATCGTTGGAAAACAACTTACTGTGAGTAGGAACTATCTTTAAAAAAAAAAAGGATTGAACACCGCACTCACTCCATCATTCACCGTTTCTGAGATCCCTGGTTTGAGGGATGTAATCCTCGATAATTTCTTGGACGTAACGGACTGCGATGAGGACGCCTTCAACACTATTGAGTCCAGTTTATCCTCTAGTGTAATTCCCAGGCCAGGCCATTACACCGCCTCCTCCAAACATGCATTGTACGCATTCCCCGTTCTCGGTAGTCTCTTCGGAGCCTGCTACCACTGTACAGACATAAACGCAACTCATCAGTAAACATTAACCGCTATCCAATTGGTGTTTTTCTTCTAGGCGCTCGCTTCACAATATTCTCCTGAGTTACTAGTGGCAGGCTGTTGCTGCAGATCGTCTTAAAGGGGCATACGATGTGAGCCAACTTCCCACAAATGATTACAAATCATTTGGGTTGATAAAGGCCTTGCCAAAACACCTTGTACTTCATTTAGGATCTGGCGGGCACTATGGAAGGGTTCCATCTTGCAGCAATGACAATATTTCTGCCCTCGCTTAGTGTCTTAACGAGCTGAGTTCTACTACAGGCCTCCTATTGGCACTTCCAGTCTCTTGGAATCAGGCTAAAGCCCGGGAGACCACTCTTTAAGAAAAGTCAACTTTATCCACATGTCGGTGACCTCAATGACTCATTCTCACAACAATATCGCGAACTTCTGGTTCAAGATGATGTCTTTCCATGGTTAAAGATAATTCAACTGGATTAAAATGGAGAAAATACGAGTAAAATGAGGATTAACATTTGTTTATTTTTGGTTTGTATTTTCTACTTCGTTTTATCCAACTTACAAGAATACATCGGTTAATTTAATAAAAAAATAATAGTATAAGAATAAATTACAAATATCCCTATTCATTTTTGAGCAGTTTATGTTTGTTGTCAACTAGGACCGATGGTGAAGTATTGAGTGAACTGTGGGCTGATATCACTGTCATAAAAATAATAATAATAATTAAATTAATAATTTGACCGTCAGTCTATTCTGATATCTAGGATACACTTTATTTATACCTTCGATTAAAATAAAATCAGAATGTTGTCTTCCGTTGATGAGTTGTTGTAAAAGCATTTCGGTTATTCATTTGGAATTCACGTGCATTCAGCAAGTTATCAGCACATAACCTGAGAGACTGCTGTCAAAGCTCAAAGGATAACAGAACTCAGAAGGAGGTTTAACTTGCTGATTGTAACAAGAGTTGAGGTTGAAGTTATTGTTCAATCTTCAATCCGTCTCAAAGGATCCGAAATTGTATGATGCACATCATCAAACTCGGTATACTCTTTTAATTAAAGTCAATTAATTTAACAGCCCCCGCGGTGCCGACAATTTGGGGTTTTCCATCTGGGAATCCTTATCTGTTAAATAAGCAAACAATTTAGTATAAATAACAATGTACAAGCATATAAGAAAGTTCTGATAAGCATGTCATGGATGATAATTCGAGCAATAAGTCTGATGAGGTAATTTGTCTTCGTTTTATATTGACATTTCCTTGAGCCAGTTTTGACCATGATTTTGTCCGGAAAGCATCTGGAAGAGGATGAAGGGTCGGACCTGGATGAGAAGGAGCCCAAGCTCAAGTACATGCGGATGGGCAATGGCGTTGAAAACATCCTGAAAGCAGACTCGGCCTCCTGCGTAGCCATACATCCGAAGGTAAATGCTGACTAATCTAGATAAATCGGAGTAATTTTAATAACTGCTCTGTCTAAATAAATATTAGAAGCAAGCAAGGATATCAGTGGAAAACTTCCACTTTATAGGAGCTTTCCTTGACCTTCCTTTCCTTTTCATAAGGCCAATTTTGTTGCAAAAAATGTACAATAAAATGAGATCCAGAGGCATCTACAGCCAACGGTAAGGATACAACACCCCAGACGCAATTTCCACATAACACCAGACCTCCAGAATCACTAAGCAGTATAGTCTTGCCTGTAGATTACTCGCGCCAATCGCAGCGATGCAAACTAAACTGCTCACAAATAAATAGGGATATTTTATTCTTATTCTATTAATTTTAATTAAATTAACCGATAAATTCTTGTTAGTTGGATAAAACAAAATAGAAAATACAAAGCAAAAATAAATGTTAATCCTCATTTTTAATAACGGATTTACTTAACAACAGTAAACATGAAGATTACACATTTTGTAAAAAAACACCTTTTCTCGTCTTTTTTTGTTAGTTATAATTTCAATGGACTGTCAAATGAATTCATTTGTAATAGCAGGGCTAAAATGTTTGTTTAATTTAGACCATGTTTCAGAAGGATGTGGGTTTTCAGGTTGCTGTTTTGCTTTGTTTTGTGCGAACAGTAAGGGCAGCTGAATGACAGCTCTTTCCCGCAGTTGTACTTGATGTGTCTCCCAAGAGATTCTTTTTTTTTTTTTTTTTTTTTTTTTTTTTTTTTTTTTTTTTTTTAATTTAAACTTTTGTACATAGTACTTATAGTTGTGGCATAATGTTTAACAGCATCAAACAGTTCTTGGATCCTTAAGCTCAGCAGCTCCCTTCATTAATTATTTAGAATTATTATTAATATTTAAATTATTTACACATGATTTAATCTAATTTAATCACAGTTTATCACAGTTAGTTATAGTTAGTTAACATATCGGTGTGTCGCTTGCGCTTGAGTCTGCGGTGTGGACGTGCAGGAGGTAGGTGGTCCGGTATCCCTTGGATTTCTGTGTTTGGGTGGGACTGGAACTTGCTAAACATCTTTCGGTAGCTGTCTCTCAGTGCATGGTCCACTAGAGGAATGTCCAGGTCTTGGTGCAGTGTGGTATTTTGCACATACCAGGGGGCTCCAGTTAAAATCCGTAAGGCCCTGTTTTGAAATGTCTGGATTCTCCTGTGAACTGGACTAATTTTGATTTATCTAGGTTTAGCTTGACTTTCCACTTGTCCGCCCATTCAGAAACTTGGTCAGTGACTTGTTGCAAGGTCTGTTTTCTCCTGTGCTCAATATAGCCACATCAACAGCAAAAAGTGCTGTCTTGACTGTTCCTGGGATTTGGGATGATAGATTACTCACGCTCACCAAATAGAGGAGAGGCCCCACAATGCTGCCTTGTGGGACACCAGAAAATATGGGCTTTGGGTCAGAGATGCCATCCTGTACTTTGACACAGTAAGTTCTTTCCGACAGGTAGGAAAGGATAGGTCGGTAGTAGGTGCCCGGTAGGCTATCTTTTATTTTTGCTAATAGTCCTATATGCCATACTCTGTCGAAAGCTTTCTCTGTATCAAGAAATAACCCCAGTGTGACTTTTTTATGTTCGAAGGCATCGAGGAAGTTGTCAATTACCCTCTGGAGCTGTTGTGGGTAGGAGTGTCCTTCTCGGAAACCAAATTGATGATCTGGGATCAGTGGCTTCAGGTATTTCATGAAGGTCGGGAGAATTAGCAGTTCAAAAGTTTTAGCAACAATGCTAAGTAAACTTATTGGCCGATAATTTTCCGGATTTGATTTGTCCTTTTGTGGCTTGGGGTTCATCACTATGTGGGGAAGCTTCCACTTGGAGGGAAAATAAGTGGTCCTGAGTATGGCATTAAATATTTGGGTGAGCTGTACAAGTGTTTTCCTTAGTAAATTATTCAGAAGGGGTTGGGTGATCAGGTCTGCCCCTGGTGATTTCTTAGTTGGTGTTTTTGCAATCACTCTTTTAACCTGCGCAGGAGAGAAAAAGTCCGAAAAGGGAAAAAGTTGTAGCGGCTTTGATAGTTTTTCCTCCATTTGCTTATCGTTGTTGTTATACGTGGTTTGGTTTGGCTTAAAGTGGTCAGCCGTCTTTTTTCCATTTTAATCCAGTTGTATTCTCTAAAACCATGGAAAGTCATTAAACCATAAGTTCGCGATATTATTGTAAGAATGAGTCATCGAGGTCACCAACATGTGGATATCACAGTTGGCTTTTCTTAAAGAGTGGTCTCCTGGGCTTTAGCCTGATAACGAGAGACTGGAAGTGCCAATAGGAGGCCTGTAGTAGAACTCAGCTCGTTAAGACACTAAGCGAGGGCAGAAATATTGTCATTGCTGCAAGATGGAACCCTTCCATAGTGCCCACCAGATCCTAAATGAAGTACAAGGTGTTTTGGCAGGCATCAACCCAAATGATTTGTATTCATTTGTGGGAAGTTGGCTCACATCGTATGCCTCTTTAAGACGATCTGCAGCAACAGCCCGCCACCAGCAACTCAGGAGAACATGGTGCAGCGAGCGTCTAGAAGAGAACACCAATTGGAATGCTGCATGTTTCTGTCTGTAGCAAGCACCAAAGAGTGCCGAGAACAGGGGATGCGTACAGTGCTCCAGTTCGTGCTCCCTTCAGTGCAGTTTGGAGGAGGTGTAATAGTCTTGGCTGGGAATTTCACTGGAGGACAAACTGGAGTCCATATTGTTGAAGGCAACCTCACCGCAGTCTGTTATGTCCAAGAAATTATCGAGGATTCATTTCTCAAACCAGGGATCTCATTGGTAGGGATTTTCAGTTTCTGGGTGACAATGCCAGACCTCATAGTTGTTCATCAGTGTTTAGAAAACCCATCTGCCGCTCCTCCCTCTATTGTCTCCAGGCCTCAATCCTTTCAAGCATATGTGGGATGCATTGCAGAAAAGGCTTTCCATCACCATCCGCAGCCAGTTGACCTGCAACAACTGAATGCAGCGTTGCAACATGTATGGAGTGAAATCCCTTATGAAATTAGTGACAACCTTATTAACAGTACGCCAAACAGGTGCACAGAAGTTTTGTCTTACAGAGGACATTGTGTCCAGTAAACAAAATTATAAAATTAAAACCTTTTATTTTGTTATTTTTCTAAATCCCTTAATTAAACTTTCCTTCTGTAAAAAACAAAATAATTTCTAATAAATTTTAATGCAATTTATAATAAATATGCTAGGGAAAGTAAATACTACAGAATTGGCAATATCCCAATTCATTTTTGAGCAGTTTAGTCCATAGGGAACAATATTGTCATCTCGTGGATAATCTCACTTTTAACACATCTCTTCCCACAGTCATACCCAATACTTTTTTAAGGAACCTTTCAATACAACGTTATTATTTACAATTTTAAACAACTTTGCTACCCATCCCATGGTTAGAAACCTTCAAAGCCACCATTTCATCCCAACTGTGTTTAAACTCATATTTTTTATAAAAATAAATGACAATGGACTTAACTGTGTCAGTGATCCTGACTCATGTAGCGAGGTCAGCAATGTGGTATTGATGCTATAAGATTTTGTATTTATTACTAGAGCAATCATCCCATTAAAGGCACATATATTTTACACTTGGTCTTAAACCATCAGCACAAATATCAAACCCTTTAATCCTTCATTAATTTTCCAGGACATTATCCTTTCCCTATTCTTCTACAGACTATCACTGCATCTGGTCATCATAAGCCCTGAAACAAAACCTGTATATACATTGAGAACATAATATTTGTATACCGATCTTGTCATGTTTGAAGTTCTAGAACTGTAGCTCAGAATATCTTGCTTTAGAGTATGTCTTTCATTAATATTTCCGAGTTGCTGTAATCGCCTCACATCATTAGAACAACCAGTTTCTTCATTAATAAGCCCTCATGAAAGTTGTTTTGTCAATGTTGTGCATATTGGCTCCATATTGAAAAATTTCAATCCTAAAAAGTAGCCAAGTGGCTGACACTCTTGAAAATGGGTTTTTTCAGTGAAAGTTATCGAGCCTCCAAATGGAACTAGGTACTGGGTACAATGTGATACAGATTATCATACATTCCAGTTTAGATAATTACTTTAACTAAAACACTAATGAATTAATTTTATGAGAAATTGATGATTAGCGGTTCTAAGTGATCAGCTGTTGAGTCAGTCATTGAACTTAAAAATAAAAAAAAACTATTTGGCACGAATAGAAAAATAGTATATTTAATGAAGAATCATCATGTATCTAGAAAAGTCGACGTAGCACTTATGTACCTATAAAAACTACCACCCCATGTGGTTTATTTCAAAAGCAAAAGAATGCCTAAAACTGAAGCAGTCCATTTCTTAGGCGTTGACAGCAAGCTCACTTGGAAATAACATATGATAAATAATAGCACATACAATGCCTGGAAACTATTACAGGAAAATCATCTCTTTTACCACTAAACTTGAGAAGGCTGGTTTATCTAATATTAATTTGTCATGGCAGTATGGATGCACAATTTTGAGATCTGTGCTAACTGCTGTGTAAAAAAGGGTACAAACCTTTGAAAAATGCCTACAAATTCTGACAGTAGCTCAGTGGTTTGTAAGAAAATCAATGTTGCACATTCACATGAATTTGTTCGATGTGTAGTCATTAAGAACAGCTGCGTTCGGCTTATAGACTCCTTGGTTCACATAATTAGAAACAGCATGGAATTTTCCTCTGCCACCGAATAGAAAAAAGATAAATTGTGGTATTTTGTTTATTTCTGTTAAGAGTTTCCTCCAATGTGATTGGCAAGATTTTCATGACTGGAATTTGGTCATCAGAGATCAGTTTGGTCTGCCTATTCCACTTGTTTGGCCTGTCGGAAATAAATTACAAAAGCATCTGACAGACCAGCGAGTTGGGCAGACCAAAATAATTATTAAAATCCAAAATTGATTAGCCATGTAAAACCAGTATTGCAATTTTTTTAAAATTTTTAATAAAATTTTAATTTTTTTTTGTCTATTTTGTTTGAGAGTAATTATGAATATAATTTGTTTTCAGTTTGTATGCATTGGGACTGACTGGGGTTTAATTTATTTTCTGGACCATCAGGGAAATGTAGTTTTGGACAAAGAACTCCGAGCGCACACTTTAGCTGTCAACCAAATCAGTATCGATGCAAACGGCGATTATATTGCCAGCTGTGCTGATGACGGGAAAGTAAGAATTTACACTTTTTTTTTAATTTGGTCGTTTCTGGGTCTGCCCTTCTAGAAATGTTTTGGCACTGTCACTGGTTCATCTGTATGTTATTTCATCAAGTGCGTCAATTTCATCAAGGGAGGACAATAACCAAACATTTTCATCACATCGAAGAAGTCTTTTTTTTTTTTTTTTTTTTTTTTTTTGTTAATGCCAAATTGTATTTGTATTTCAGGTTTATGTCTTCGGTGTTTATGATAGTGATAATAATCAGGAAATTCGTTTAGAAAGACTCGTTCGATCTGTTGCGATAGATCCTTTATATGCAAAAGGAGGGTCTTACAGGCGGGTCATTACAGGTCTGTTTTGTCTCCTTGTTAAATTAAAAATAAATAACATTTTTTTTTTTTCAAATAGGAGATGAGAAACTAGTGCTTCATGAAAAGGGATTTTTTTCCCGGATTAGATCAACCGTATTAGGCGACGCTTCTATCGAAGGCGGTGTTAAAAATATAAAATGGAGCCCGGATGGAAAGCTCTTGGCTTGGTCGACACAAGTTGGATTCAGAGTTTATGACGTCGATGTTAAAACATCTCTAGGACTTGTAAAATGGGCTTCAAAACCCCAGTAATTTTCTTTTTATAATTACTCTATTTCATAAAAGATATTTTTTCTCAGTTCTCTCTTTTTAAACATTAAATTTTAATGTTCCATAAATTTTTATAAAACAATTTAACAATTATTTTTACTTTTTAGAATAGATTTAAAATGCCCCATGTGCTGGGAAGGAAATAATAATCTAGTCGTTGCTTGGAATAACACTATTAAAATATGTGCCATTAAACGAAAAACTACAGCAACACCTTCACATATTTCTGCTTTTGTCGTTATGCCTGGTACATTGAATTTTTCATCATTTTAAAAGTACATTGTTAAAATGGACAGATTTCTTTTAGTTTACACCATCCAGATGGAGTACATAGTGAGTGGTGTCGGACCGTGGGGCAACATGCTTGTGGTTCTCGGCTGTACCAAGGAGATCAACAACTCTGGATTGGACGGTGATAGGCCACAGCTCCAAGTCATCGAGCCGACATCGAGCGGCTATGAGGATCTCAATTCACATTTTCTTTCACTCAGGGGCTTTGAAAAATATGCCGCTTCCGATTACAGTTTAGGTATAATACGTAATATTTTATGTTATTCGTTTTCTGATCCTTGGATATTTCCAGAGTGCCTTCCAGATGAAGGACAATTTGTCATTGTAAGCCCTCGTGATATAGTTGTAGCATGCCCGTACGATGCTGACGACCGTATCGACTGGCTTATCAATCATTCGTGAGTCACTTGAAAAAAAAAAACTTAATTTTTTTACTAATTAATTAATTTCAGTAAGTTTGAAATGGCTCAAAAAGCCGTCGCAGATTCTAAAGTGCCTTTTGTCAGGCATTCGAAATATTCAGTGGGTAGAGAGTACATAGGGTATCTTTTAAAAAAGCGTGAATACAAAAAGGCTGCAGACCAGTGTAAAAATATTTTAGGCATGTGATTTTTATTATATTTACTATTAAAAACAAAATTAATTTTTAACTAATTAAATACATTTGAATGTAGGTAATGACAAAATGAAGTGGGAAAAAGAACTGAGACGGTTTGCTGAACATCAGGCCGCTCACGCGTTAGCGGATTACGTACCAATTTCTCTAGAATGTCGCCTGCCAAATCATTGCTATGAGCTCATTCTTTACGAGTATTTACGTTACGACAAAGAGGTAAGTTTGAAGTGCCTTCATTCGGTGAGGTGGACCGTACGGATTATTTTTATTTTATATTTACCTATTTTGAAGGGTTTTTTAAATAAAATTAAAGCGTGGCCACCTGCGTTATACGACCCGTCTACAATGGGAGCAGTAGTGCTGAAATGTATCTTTGGGTCTGACTTGAAAAGCAATCCTACCCTCCTTGAAGCTTTAGCCATCATTTATTCCCACATGGGAAATCATGATAAGGCACTTTCTATGTACATCAAGTAAGTTTTTAAAATAGTTAATGATACATTTATTACTTATTTTACAATTAACATATGGCAAATTATGTAAGAAGATAAACTTATTTCCAAAATAATTAATGATTAATCTTTAAAGACATTATAATTATATAATTTGAAAAACTATGAGGGGTGAGTCTAATTAAAACTGAAAATAAAATTAAAAAGGAAACACTTAGTTCCTTCATTAAGCATTTGAGAACTATATCCTTCATGACTGTGAAACCTAGATTTCAAAGAAAATAAAATTAAAAATTGAGATATAACGCCAGAGGAACATAACCAGTGAATTATATAAAAAATATAGAGAGAGAGAGTTAAATGCCCAAAGAAAGAACTGAGCGTTTTCTTTCTAATAAATAGGTTTTATCCAAAATTGGTTTGTAATATACAGGGTGAATTGCTACTCGTGCTACAAACTTCTCCAGTAGATTCTTCACCCTAAAATGAACAAAAAAGTTCATATTGTCCATGGTCCGATTCTCAACCATTTCAGAGTAATTTCGCTTTTTATCGATTTTGAAAGATATCACGTCCTGGCGTCGGAAAATCGTGATATCTTTTAATCTAAACATTTCTCTGAAAATCTAATAGCACCGTTGAAATTCCCGTTAATTTTTCAATAAGAAGATGACGGTGGCAAAATGTTTGGGCTAATTTTTTGTGTTTTATTTCAGCCAGAACTACAAAAAGAGTGGAAAATTGTGTAAATCGGAAAGTGTATAAAGTAATCCAGAGTTTCTAATTTTAGTCTCAGAAGGCAGCAAATTTGAGGAAAACTACCTGATTTAATAACGCTTCCAACGCACTCGTCATTTTCTTATTTAGTGGTTGTGAGACCAAGATGTTGATGACAAAAAGAGAAAAAATGGTGGTTCAAGGATTGCTAATGTTTGAGAGTGACTTGCTACTCGTGCTACAAACTTCACCAGTAGATTCTTGACCCTAAAATGAACAAAAAAGTTCATATTGACCATGGTCCGATTCTCAACCATTTCAGAGTAATTTCGCTTTTTATCGATTTTGAAAGATATCACGTCCTGGCGTCGGAAAATCGTGATATCTTTTAATCTAAACATTTCTCTTAAAATCTATAAGCACCGTTGAAATCCCCGTTAATTTTTCAATAAGAAGATGAAGGTGGCAAAACGTTTGGGTCTTTCTTCCTTGACCTTCTAGCTGTTTGTAAACTTCTTAAGCATTACATACTAAATGGGCATTAAATTAAATTAAAAAATTTCAATGGAATTATGATTTTGATTCTCTCTAAAAATTAACGGGGATTTCAACGGTGCTTATAGATTTTAAGAGAAATGTTTAGATTAAAAGATATCACGATTTTCCGACGCCAGGACGTGATATCTTTCAAAATCGATAAAAAGCGAAATTACTCTGAAATGGTTGAGAATCGGACCATGGACAATATGAACTTTTTTGTTCATTTTAGGGTGAAGAATCTACTGGAGAAGTTTGTAGCACGAGTAGCAATTCACCCTGTATAATGAAAGGATACCTTTTGAAAATAGTAATACATTTTCAGTTCTAATACAGTCTTTGCATTCAGAAAAGTTTTTAAAGAATTACTAGGGGTAAGTCCGGGGTTTGAATCCAGCGGCCTTGCATTCGAGCCTGATATATGTATAAATTTTTTTTCAAAACAGCACCCCGAGGGTTCAAATAATCTTGAAATTGAATCACCCTCGTTAAAAAAAAAATATACTAGGGGTGCCGGTGGTCGCAATGATTAAAGCATTAACATGGCGCTCATTGCTGTAAGGTAAAGGTCCTGCATTCAAATACAGCATTCCTGAATACTTCCATTTTTTTTTTTTTTTTTTTTTCAAAACACTGGCATCCCCAGTGTTGATGTGACCTTTGCAAACCCTCATTAAAACAAAAAAATTATTTGGGGAGACTTGCCTGCTCAGACATTGAGGTTGGGCTCCGTCAATGCATTCCTACCAATTTACATCTGTTAACCTATTCAGGACAGTCAGCAACCTATCTTCACTTATACATTCAAGATCATAGAAGCAGTGTGCTGTTTAAGTTATTTTTATTGCTGGTGAGAGTGGAAAATTTAGATAACATAACGCCATTGTTTACCCTTTTAAGCAACACATTGCTTCTTTGAGAGAGTCTAAAAGTGAAGAGACTGGAGCACAATGTAACACGTATGTCATGTTCCCATTGCCTCACTGGGTAGCCATATCACAATGAAAGGGTTATAGTCCTTGTAGACGTCCGGTTTTTTTTTTCTTTTTTTTTTGTCCATCAGACAATTGGCAGAAGATTAATGGATATAAGTTATATTATCTTTTACATCTACATATATTATCTTTTACTAGATGGACTGTAACTTTGAGTACATCTCTCTCTGGCTCGGTTTTGAACTGGTATATTAAACTTATGTATAATTCACCATTTTTCGTGGTCCGCTTGACAAATTGACCAGTTGAAAAATGGCAAAAAGGAGGGAAAATTCAAAAGGTGGGGTTGAGAGGGGAAGTTGTTGTCCGAGTGGATCGAGTCACGAGAGCTCAAGTGGTAGAGTAGCGGTGTATTTAGCCGAGGGTCGTGGGTTCGCATCCCGCTCGTGACACTGACTTTTTTATCTCAACTAAAAACCTTAATTAACTTATGTATAATGTTGAATAATAAGAAAGACAAAAATCTTGAATGTCAATAAAGCCTTCACTTCCAACTATTTAACAAACAACAGGAACGGTTTAATAAACAGGTGGAACTAAAGAATTTCAACCTTTGATAATGGAATTCCACCACAAAAATACAACAAACCTTGGGGAAAAAAATTATCCTATTGGCCTACAATTTATACAAGAAAAAACAAAAAGAAATAGAAATACATAAAAGGTCATTGTGGGTACATCCTATACTATTGGAAAGTGAAGAATATGGTGCATTTTTTTTTTTTTTGAGAAGGAAGGAAATGAAATAAAATTTTACAATTACTTTCGGATGCAGAAAAAAAATTGAATCTTTATTGATGATGATTGATAAAAGCATGTGATAATTTTAAGATATTGGGTTGGCAAGCAATTTGCAGAAAATGGTCGATACATCTGGTATGAGGGGGGCCAGATGAGCACACTGCAGTAAATAGTCACCGGACTGATACTCACTTGTCATTATAGCCTGTACAACACTGCAAGTTTGGTAAAAAAAAAAAAAATCCGATTACGATGAAAAAAGATCTACAAGCGTTCTTAAGGTGGTGGAATACTCAATATACCTCCATCACCCTTACCATCTATTATATACCAACCTAATTTAGGGTCAATGGGGTGCTCAATATTCTACCACAGCTCTGACACTACACACTCGCTAATTATACATTCACTCTTAATACACACACTCACGCACACTAGAGGACACAAAATTGTCAGTATTACATACAATAAAACAACCCTGCTTCCTACTAGAATCGGAACAGGGGACCCAAGTACTCGCTGCCGGGCTCAAGCACAAATTTCAAATTGGTGGTATTCCTACTTGCTCACTATATGGAACCAAGGAATGGCATTCTTTAATTTAGTTAAGTTACACTTGGACTTTGGCCTAAAAGTGTATCCATGGGTCAATCTTTGCATGGCCTATTCTTAATCGAGTGAAGATGGGTCAGATGCTTTAGTGCTCTTGATACATGAGAGTTTCTCTGCTGGTCATGCCCTTTTTAAATAATGAAACAGTAATAGAATGTAATATTGTTTTTAAGATTGCAAAACAATGGAGTATTTAATCTGATTGAACAGCACAAATTACACAGCAGTATACACAAGTCGGCGAAAGATCTCATGAAAATGGACGAAAACAAGGCGATTCGAACATTTCTACACAGTAATGTCAATCCAGATGATATTGTAGAAGCGCTCAAAGACCACAATTATTACTGTTTTAAGGTGAGTTTGATATTTATTTTAATATGTCGCCGAGAATCGAATCCTGACATTTGAAAAAGGGCAAAAAGGAGGGAAAATTCGAAAGGTGGGTTGAGATGGGAAATTGGTGTCTGAGTGGATTGAAGTCACGATAGCTCAATTGGTAGAGCAGCGGCGTATTTAGCCAAAGGTCGTGGGTTCGAATCCCGCTCGTGACACTAACTTTTTCATTTCAACCAAAAAACCTTACATAAAAAGATTAATTAGTTGAAAGAAGTAATTTGGCCAATAGACCACTAAATTTAATGGATTTATTTTAATATCGATTAAATGACAAATTTTATTTTTTATACAGTACTTAGATGCCTTGAACAAGCACGACTCGAAAGCTTGTATAAAAAATCATTCAAAACTGGTCAGACTGTATGCGGACTTTGAGCCGGACAAGCTTTTGAATTTTCTGAAAATGAGTGACCATTACGCTATCCGAGAAGCGTTGGATATATGCAAAAGTGGAAAATTGAACGAAGAAATGGTTTATTTATTGGGTATGAGAAAGCTGGTGTTGTCCTCCAGCTTAGATAGATAGCCGCTTAGATAATTGATTTTTTTAAATATTTTTATCAGGCCGGATTGGAAATACAAAAGAAGCGCTAGAACTTATTCTTACCAGCATAGGAGACATAGAAAGAGCGATAGATTTTTGCAAGGAGCATGACGATGAAGAACTTTGGGAAGACCTGATCAGCTTTTCATTAGACAAGCCGAGTAATTTCGCTTAGTACCATTAGAGAAAAAAAGTTCATGCTCAATAATAATATTATTTTCAGTGTGCATAACGAATCTTCTTCAGAACATAGGCACATATGTCGATCCGAACATCCTGCTTCAAAAAATAGACAACAAACTTCCTATACCTTCCCTCAAGGAGTCGTTGGTAAAACTGATGCAGGGGTACAATCTTCAGGTAAGGGTGAAACTTAACCTAATTTTTTAAATTAATACTACTAAGAAAAGAAAATTGTATTTACAATTTTAATTTATTAATATTCTTTTCCTTTGAGATCCACAAGGTAGGAATCATTCTGCAATACAAAAAATATATAAACAATTGAATGAAATGTAATGATAAAATATTATATATTGTGTAGTCGTAAATTAAGTTCGTAGCATTTTTTTATGGTAAACAAATTTAAACAAAAATACATGAACCATTTTGTTCCAATACTAGGTGCCATCTTCTTTGTAATTTTATAATTCTGGTCTCCCAAAATCTCTTAGGTTTTTTTTTTTTTTTTTTTTTTTTTTGGGGGGGGGTTATGTTATCATATTACCCATGATTTCTCAAATTAGCTAACATAAACAGCGTGAGTGGCAAGGGTACGCCCTGCACCCCTTCCGACCACCCCGCCGGCGAAACCCATCGAGAACCGGCCATACCACCGCAACAACCATGCTCCTAACTACAGATTCTCACTAATTTCTCGGTGACATTCGATCAAACCTCGATGTTACATTTTTTTAGTAATTGATATAGCAAATCGTGGACTCTTAGGTTTTTAAGCGACGACTCAGTGTGTTTTGTGCCGTTTTCAATTAAGTAATTTTTTCCCCCATTAATAAAGTTTTACATTGGCCGGAATAAGTGAAATTCTGAATGCCTTGCAAATAGGTGGAGTAGCACATCCCAGCCAAGGCCCCAATAATTACTGGCATATCTGCAAGCACATGTGGGAGCGAAATGGTGGAAAACAATCTTGTGATTAGCCAATAGTGGTCAATTTTGGTCAATTGTTGGCTTTAATCGCTCCACTTGTGTGCAGTGTATAAATCAGAATTAACATTTTGGTTTGGCGGAAAAATCTCATAGTAAAGCAGTCCCTTCCAATTTCACCAAATGCCCTACATTACTCTATGAGGTGTAAATCGGGTGTTAACGGTGGGATCGCTCTGTTGTTCTCACGATTTTCCTCTCTGAACATGTTGTAAAGGACCCACTTTTCATTCCCAGTTATCAGTCTTTTTAAAAATAGTTGTTTATATCATGTTTTAGGAGAAAATCACAAAACGTGACTCTTGGTGGCAATAAAAAGTCATTAAGTAATGAAAATGAACTATTTTTCCTCCATTTTAAACTGGCAAAACACCAAAATGAATTTGAAAAAAAACCTTAACTAACTGCTTTTCAGTGTGTAAACAATAATGACAGCAATTACGATTAATTAAGGTTTTTAGTTGAGATAAAAAAATCAATGGCACAAGCGGGATTTGAACCCATGATCTTCGGCTAGAACGCCGCTGCTCTACCACTTGAGCTATCGTGACCTCGATCCACTCGGACACCAACTTCCTATCTCAACCCCACCTTTTTGAGTTTTCCCTCCTTTTTGCCATTTTTCAATCATTTTCATTCATTTTTCATTCCGAGTGGATCGAGGTCACGATAGCACAAGTGGTAGAGCAGCGGTGTATCTAGCCGAAGATTGTGGGTTCGAATCCCGCTCGTGCCATTGACTTTTTTATCTCAACTAAAAACTTTAATTAATCGTAATATATTAATTGGTCAAGCGGACCATGAAATTAGTGAATTTAATGACAGCAATGTTTATTGCTTCAAAGACAAGAGGGATAAAATCAAATTGTTAAAAAATGCTACAAACTTATTTTACAAGCCAATACATATTTAAGTAGAAATTGATTTAAATAAAAATTTAACTCTTTAACTTAAAATTATTAAACATGCGACAACGGGCAAACAAAGATCAATTCATTAATGATCAAACTGCTTATAAACATCCAAAACAGACAAGTTTCAACAATTCAATATAATATTTCATTTATTATTTCTTTCAATTAATTAAGGATTTTATCTCAACTAAAAACCTTAATTGATTGAAAGATATTAATTGGTCAAGCGGACCACGAAAATAGTGAATTTATTATTTCTTTAGGTTCAAGTTCAAGAAGGCTGTAATGTAATTTTAGCGAATGACTCGTTCGCCTTGAGTGAGAAAGTACGGTCAATTAGGCAAAGAGGAGTTTTGATTGGTGGTAAGAAATCTACTGTTGGATTTTTAATTTTTATACCAATCATTTAATATTGTTTTTATTTTTTTAGATGATCAACAATGTGGGTCTTGTCATAAAAAAGTTATTTTGAAAAGCACCAAGGGTAATTTTTTTTTATTATTTTAAGGACTACAATTTAAAACAGTGTTTGATTATTTATTATTTATTTATTTTTATGTTTTAGATAGTAATGTGAAAGAAAGTCTTGTAATATTCCACTGCAACCACATTTTTCATCGAGATTGCTTACCAGCATTTATGGTAATATTTTTATTCACATTGTTATTTCAATTAATTCATCTGTTGTATTGGTTTGACAAATACCCTCTTTTTTGCAGGACAATTGCAAACTGTGCACAAAGACAAAGTTACATTTTTAAAATGTTTAGTTCCCAATTTAATTTATATGCCTTTCATGCTAATACAAGTACATGCATATTTTATAAATATATATTTTATTAATGATGTTACCAATTTTTTAATATATATATAGATTAAATATATCAACTTTTTTTTTATACAGTATTGATACTTAATAACATTATTATGAAAACATCTGATTGTTTCATACCTTTTTTAATGTTCCTATTTCCCAAGACTCAGTTGTTTTTGCAAATTGTTCATCCTTAGCTTCAGAACCTCTATTTCCCATATTTTTCAATTCTTAATTGTACGTAAACCAAAAGACAATAGTATGGGATCGAGAGCTGTTATACAAGGTATGATTTTAATATTAAGTATCCCTTTTCTCACTTGTAACTGGAGGTGTTTTAAGAAGGGAAATGGACCAGAGGTATCATATTGAGTGATTTCAGAAAGAAACTGATAAAACGAAGTTCCAAAATAAAGAATGTATGCTCGTTGAACATTTTACATTTTGACATGAAATTTCACAAACATATGGGGTGTTTTTTTGATGATATTCTTAAAAGTTATTGCTTACAAACATCTGTTGAGGGAAGTTGAAGAAGACATGTGCAACTTTGACAAAATAAATGTCCACCCAGAACCATTTTATATTTTTTAAAAAATTATATAAATTTAAAGGGAAGAAGAATATTAAGTCATTTTAATATTTTTTAAATATAAATTATCATGTATGTAAATAAGAATATATGACAAATTTTTAAATTATTTCTGAGTCCAAATAGGTCACTTTAAAAGCTTCAAGGAAGAAACAGAGTTAAAATATACTTAAACAATGTTTAAACTTAAATATTACTAGCCCTGTATAAAACTGTTAATGAGTAATAGATAATAAAACTTATTTTGTACGGTTAGACTATTACTTTTAAGGCATTTCACCTGGAAAACGATTCTACACAGTTATCTTCATCTGGATGAAAGACTAACGTATTCACTGATATGAGCATATGTAAACTCAAACCACTTTTGGGACCTGATTCAACTTTAAATCAATACCAAGTATATACCATATCAATCTTCATTCACTTTATTTGGCAGTATGCATCTGTCAAGCTTCAAATCCAACAGAGCACTTAGGCATCATGCTCATACCGCGGTACACGATGCTCCACAGATTCCCAGATCGGGAGTCATCACCCAAACATCGTTTCCGCAACTCAACAGCGGATCATTATGAGTCAAGATTTACCCAACTCATCCCAATAACAACATGTGATGCCTGAAAAAAAAAACATGCAGTTCGGTAAGCCGACACATTTTTGGTTCTTTAAGAAATTTTATTAAGTCTAGTCTCAATGGTTGAATTTATTCTATAGTTATGTAGTACATGTCAAAGACTCCTGTGGATAAGTCTAGCGTCACAGTTTGTAAAAAGTTGATGACTTCTCTGCTTCTTTACAGAATCTGCACATACTGTGTTGGATTATGTCAATCTTCCTTAGATTCCCTTCCTAGCCCATTAGACAATCTAGGCATTTCTAGACAAGTTTGGGACTTTATACCTACCTGAGTATCTGAAAGTATTTGATCTGCTTATTTTCTTCTAAATGAACTCTACAAGTAGAACTACCTATTGGTAGTGTTCTACAAAAATTGTGCCATTTCCATTATAATCTGTATTATGGGTTGTAATGTTTATCTTGTACCTAAATTTAATGTAATTAATTTTTATAAAAAAGTTACCTAATACTTTTTCTTTTTTTTCGCCAAGGCAAACTAAAAGTCATTACTTGCAGATTCAACTTAATATTTGATGTGTAGAGATTAGTGACCGTTATTTATATTAGTGATAGTTATTCAGATATCGTGAGATGCGGTCGGGTTTTTGATGATTTTATTAAATATGACAATAAAAAATATAATTCATATTTAATAATGCTACAATATTAATGTTTTTCAATTGCTGTCTTCATATTTAAAAAAAAAAAAAATTAAATCCTTGTAGTCAAATCTTTTTGACAATACCAAAAATTCTTTCACTTGATTTATCTGTGATTTATGACTTATTTCTTGTATATAAAAAGAATCTAGAAATTATTGAATACACATAATTTTATCAATTTTGTACAGCATTTGATCAGTATGAAAAAGCGAGGATTCATTTTGCTCAAACGATGGCCGATATGGCACTGCGCTCTATCAATGTTGACTGTATGCTAAAGTGTAATGTGCTCGAGCTGCTGCAGGCTCTTTTGTCTGACCCTTCCCTCAGGGTACAACAGAACGCCGCTCTCGCGATCGGAAGACTTTCCAACAATAGCCCCGAGGCTGCTAAAGCAGCGGTTAACGTCGACGTTCTACCAACTATGCTGAAGGGTATAGAAAAGCGAAGCGTAAGCGGCCCGTCAAATTTTTCTTTGGCTGTTTTCTTAAAGCACACCTTTGCAGAAATATTACAAGAAAGCGGCCATGTTTTCTTTGAGGTGCGTCGCAAAACATTCGGCAGAAATGGCCACTACGCTAGTCGCATCGGGAGCGTTGGAAGCTATCTTGACATGCCTTGAGGAATTCGACACAGGCGTCAAAGAAGCAGCAGCCTGGGCTGTTGGATACATTACAAAGCATAACACTGCCCTTGCACAAGCTTGCGTCACAGCAGGTATGAAATTCATCACTATTAACTCTACCAATGCTATACAAATTTTTACAATACTTTAGGTGTTTTACCGATGCTGCAATTATGCCTTCATGAGCCAGAGCTTTGCCTTAAACAAGTCGCAGCATCCACCATAGGTGATATAGCAAAACATGATCCGAGCCTGTCACAGGCAATCTGTGATTCAGGGTGTACAATGCTGCTTGCTAAGTGTATGGCTTTTCCAAGTCCAAGGCTGAAAGTAAGATTTACGAGCCATTTATTTAAATTTATCTTTACTTTTAATACAATTACTGCATTCTCCCACTCCAATGCCATTGGAGTTGATGGCATCCCTATCCATTTTCTTAAACTCTGCCTCCCAATATTACTACCTGTTCTACTTCACATCTATAACTACTCACTCCAAAACTCTGTTTTTCCGACAGCCTGGCAAAAAGCCCTTGTTCACCTTGTCAATAAAACCCCCAACCTATCCTCCCCTACTGACTACCGTCCCATTTCCATCCTCTCAAACCTGTCCAAGCCCCTAGAAAGATTAGTCCAAGCACAAGTCTCCAGGCACCTTGAACAGTCCCATCTTCTCAACCCCCTCCAATCTGGCTTCTGCCAAGGTTATTCCACCCAACCACTTAGCAATGGACCAACGGAAAGTTACTACTCTTGTCCTTCTTGATTTTTCTAAAGCCTTCGATTCTATCCCTCACTCTTCTCTCCTCTCTAAACTCGAATCTTTTTCGTTCTCTGCCAGCACCATCCGTTGGTTCCACTCCACCCTTACCAATCGCCACCAAGCTGTTTCCCTTCCCAATGGCCTTACCTCCTCCTTCCTCCCTCTAAAATCTGGGGTGCCCCAAGGCTCTAGCATCTCTCCTATCCTTTTTTCCATTTATATCAGTGACCTGCCCGACTCCATCCAGTCCTGTAACTATCACCTATATGCCAATGACTCCCAAATATACATATCCTTCCACCCTTTCGATCTTCACTCGGCCACTCTCAAGATTCAAAAAGACTAAACTCCATCAACGACTGGGCCCATAAAAATTCCCTAGTCCTCAATCTGTCCAAATCCACCGCCATAATTGTGTACGGCACCCCACAAAGATCCCAGGTGTCGGGGTTGTATTCCCAACTTTCCTGGCTTTTCCTCTCCTTCCGTGCACAGTATTTCCTAAGTTGCTTTCTTTACCAGTCCATCCACACTCGTCGTCCTTCTTACATCATCCAACCCCTCCAATTCAACTCCTCACATCTCACTCATAAGACATGCTCATCCCCAATCGATCTTATCCTTCTGCAACATACAACCCATACCTTCGAAAGATCCTTTCTGATCCGAGCACCTAAACTCTGGAACTCCCTTCCCCTTTCTATTCGTCACGCTGCCTCTTTTTCCTCCTTTAAATCCCACCTGTATAATCACCTCCTCTCCCAACAAGAAGAGATCTCACGTTAACATTTGTGATTTTTGTTTAATATTCTCGTAATTTTCTCTTCTGGCCTGCCTTACTGGTATACATTGTGCCAAGATTTCTATCTTTTTTATTTATTTTTAACTTCCTAGAAGGAACTTCCTTTATTTATTTCATGTAAATTATTCTTAGGGGACACCAGTCCCAGAATAAAGTTATTTTTCTTCTTCTTCTTTCTTCATTCTTCTTAACCTATCTGATCGTTTTAGAAACAAGCCATTTGTGCTCTCTCCCAAATAGCAAAGCATACGTTGAATTTAGCAGAATCTGTGGTAGAAACGGATGTAGTTACAGACGCAGTATTACACTTGGGCCATCCAGACACAACTGTCCGAAAAGCTGCGGCTAATCTGCTGTGTGAAATTTGCAAACACCATGTTCAGGTATAATCATAATTATAGCTTGTCTTAAGTTAACATATTTTTATATTAAGAGAAAATCAGGGATGAGGCCAGTTAGTAAGAAAACACTCAGTTCCTTTGACAAGCTTTTAAGTTCCTCAAAAGCTTGACGTTTCTTTCTAACTGGCCTCATCTCTAAATCTATTTTAAGAAGGCTGATCACTTATTATATCAGATCTAACATATTAACTATTAATTTTCAGCTAGCTCAGTTAGTAGTGAATTCAGGGGGTATCGGTGGGCTTCTACAGCTGATTCAGTCTGGCGACGAAGAGCCAATGTTCCCTGCTGTTCTTGCTATCGGATTTATGGCTGCTCAATCTGAATTTATCGCATTGGCGATCAAAGCTTCAAGGGTTTGTCAATCTATTTAAAAATTAAAAAACTGCCGATATAGAAAAAAAATTTAAATTTCAGGGTATAGAGACACTTGCTTTTATGCTCAACCAAAATTTTCCTGATCACATTCTGGCGACTCTGGCTTGGGCTATTGGCCAGATAGGAAAACACACATCTGAGCACTCAGAGACAGTTGCAAAGGCGAACACCTTCCAACGACTTCTTGAAGTACTATTTTTGCACTATTTTATCCTTTGAGTTTTGTTTCTTAATATATTTTTTTTTTATAGCTTTATCAAAGCCCAAAGAGCAGTGAGAACTTGAAACAAAAGTGCAAGGGTGCGTTGAAACTTACACTCTCGATGTGCACATCATTGACTGAGCTGGAACCCATGCTTGAAAAAGCTCCTCCGGAAATACTCAAATATGTTCTCGCTCAGTACAGCCAGGTGAGTATGTACTATATATTATGTATATATACATGGGTGTAAAGAGTCGAGCCTACCACGTCTCAGACCAGTGGCAACTCCAGTTTTTGTGCGTTAAAATAAGCTACTGATGGACCAATTTTTTTTTAAATTTTTTATGTCGGGTTTGAATGCAGGGCTGCTGGATTTGAACTCGAAACCTTTACCTTAGAGATGAGCGCCATGTTAACTCGTAAACTGTTGCACCCCCCGACCCCCCTTAATCATGTTCAAATGATATTGAATAATTAGAAACACAAATATTGTTCATTTAAGGGGCAGAGTTTTAAAATATTTATTTAATATATTGATAATTGCCAATCACAGATTACAATATATTATGTACTTTTAAAAAATATATATAAGTATACAATTTATTGCAATAAGCATAAATAATACACACTTTCAGATAAAAATATAATAAATATTAATTATAAATATACTTCAACAAGCATTGATGATTTTCAAAAATTTGTGATTTGCCCAATAGAACAAACAAATGTCTTGTTCAATGTTTGCTATAATTTTAATACAAATATTTTTTAATTTTTATAATTAATTTCTGTTATATTTAATACAAAATTATTACTCCGAAAATTATGGTTTCTAGACAACTGAAACGATTATACAAAGGAAAATTTTCAAAAGACACGTTTTCATATTATTATTCATATTGTTCATATTATTTTGCAATTAAACTAAAATATTATGCCAAGTATTTATTTATATTACAATTGTCGATATGAACGAAATATTTCTAAAACATTCAAGTGAACTTTGGTCCATGTTTCATTTTTCACCAAGCAGTTTGGCAGGGTTGATATTTAATTAATTTATTAAACATTTATACATTAAACATATTTAATCATAATTGTTTTAAATAGTGTTGATTGTTTTAATTTTAAAATTTTTATTTTGATAATTATTTTTAAATGTTTAATAAATTTTAAAAATAATGATTATTGGGCACACTACTATAGTAGATATATGAAAAACATTAATATTTGAATGAGACAATATTGCTTTTTGGAAATATTAAAAATAGACGATATAATGCGTATATAAAATATATATTTATAAGTATATACCTGGTATAATACCAAACTTTTTTTTAATAGTTTAATAAAATTATCTGGTATATATTTTGTGCTTTTTATAATTATGTGATATTCAAAATTTGAGCAAGCGTATTGCATTTAATTTTTAATAATTGATGATAATATTCTTTAGAACATTGCCATGTTGAAAAGAAATTTTTCATATTGATTGAAAGCACTCGTTTGAAATTTTTCATGTGATCCAGATTAAAATTAAAAAAATAAACACAAATAAGCTTGTGATTTGTAAGAAAATATTTTATTCTTTGAACTTACTTTCATAATCACATTCAGATTCTAAGCTATTATTTTCAGACTGCATGATGCCTTTTATCTGTAGTACTTTTCTTTCTAAATCTTCTTCTCCTTCTTTATCAAAGTGGGACGTTGACTTTATTAGTTCTTTTAGATTGTCGATATGTTTGTTGTATAGATTATGGTATGCGTTTGACATGTAAGGAAGTAGTACGGTCATGTCGAATAGGCTGTGTTGATCCTTTTCATAACTGAAAGGGATGACAAGAGTCAATTTCATTTCTTCCAAAGTCTTTTTCTGGCTCTTGTACAAATCCGTTAGAATTTGATAAGTTGGGTAGACGTAGTTCGATACTGGCAAAGGTAGTTTTTCTTTTACTACGGTTTTCTTTTTCTTGACCGGTGTCTTAATGCTGAGAATCTCCTGTAGTTGTTTTTCCTTCGCCTGGGCTCTAACGCTGTATATCTTTCTCTTCTTTTTCACCGGCGGCCTGTTAGGTTCGACCGATTCTTCATTGTCTAAGGCGCTGATTTTAAAATATCGATGCGAGTAATTGCAAAGCATCAGCCTTTTTTTCAAGGTGGACACACTGATCGCACAGCCTTTCACTTCCATATCTAACATTCTTTCTAGTTTCTACGGCTAATCTCACATGTCAAGCTGAAGGAATAAGGTCAGTGTCTCACTGTGGCAAGACCGGGATATTTAGTTATTGATTATGTTCACAATATAGCACACTTTAATAGACTTGTGCCTGCTACCCACCCGAGCCCACCCACTTTTTACTCATGCAAATTTAACAAACACATTTTAATCACTTTGATATGTATTATTAAAAATATTAATCAAAACAATGTTTTTCAACATAATTAATATCTTAATCTTTATTGATTTTATTAATATGATTCTATTTATGGAATAATCCAAGGAAACACAAAAGGAAAAAGCTAAATATAAAATTTAAAATAATATATTGTATTATTATACAATTAGCATATCAATCAATTGAAAACGTATTTTGTTTTATTGTATTGTTTTTAAAGATGTAAACTTAATTATTTACAATTAAAACATTTTAAAAGATACTGTAAAAAGTTTTCTTTTGAAGAAATTAGATTGTTATTTGGTATGTTTTATTCATTTATCGTAGCGTTTGTTAGGTAATATTAATTTTAACTTCTACATTGATTTTAGTAATCATATGTATCAATGAATTTTGAAAATCTTATTTTTTTTTTAAATTTGAATAATTACATTTTTAAGGTTTTAAATTTATTTTATATTTGTTTTAAAGTTGCTTCCTGTGGATGCAAGAGCAAGACGACTGTTTGTCGAGAGCGGATGCCTACAAAGAATCCAGAAGATTCAAGCCGAGCCGGGCTCGACTCTCATGGAGCTCATCAACATTGTCAACCATTGCTTCCCCGAGGAGATTATAAGGTATTTTTTTTTCACGACACCAGAAATACTCGTTATTCACAATTTTCAATATTTCAGGTATTACTCTCCTGGCTACCCAGAGTCGTTTATCGAAGCCGTTGAGAACTACAAACCGACTGTCCCTGCAATGTTCACAAGGGAGCACGATGATCCTGAAGACTCTGAGATTATGGATGCGCTCAGGCCACCGGCAAAGAACGAGTTTGAAATTTGTTAGACACACATTTCGGCTTATAGGAAATATATTTTCGGAAATATTTTGCAAAGTGAAACTAAAGTAATTTTTAGTAATAAAGAAATGGGAAATTATTTTTTTGTTTTTTTATAATGTTGATGTTATGTACATGTATGTTTTTATCAAACCTGACAAGAATTTTGTAAACTATTAATTTGTACTGTAGTTACACAGATTTCTAGAAACTAAAACCAATGCTTAAAAATATCTCCATTTTCTATAATTTTGTCATTACCGATTATTCTGATTTGCCTATCCATACAGTGTGCATGTACCAATTTGATTTATAACACAAACCCAACACTAAAGATTGCAAAAAACTGAAATTTTTCCAGCAGATGAATATATAAAGGATAAGTAGACCAAGATGATCGGTAACGACCAAATTACAGGTTCATCACACCACACACAGAAATCTCATAATATACTTTTTCACTTTAAAATTATTTTGTACATTAAATTCAAATGTATAATAAATGACAATGTTCATTAAAGACTAATTTGACGTTAAAGAATATCTTAAAACGGCAGTCCCTAAATTTTATTGCATTATTGTAATAAACCACCGCAAGTTTTTATAAATATATTTATAAAAACTAAATATGTCGAGTCTATGGTCGAACCACATAGCATGCTAACAAAGCATACAGATTTGCAACCATCTTATGTGTAAGGGATCATTTTTAGATTTGAAATTTATACTAACAAAGCATACAGATATTTGCAACCATCTTATGTGTAAGGGATTATTTTTAGATTTGAAATTTATACTATCAGCCAGTTTATATTTAAATTAATTAATTAATTAACAGTGAAAACCACATGGAAATTAGTTCTATAATTACAAATTTAAAAAAAGAATGTTAGAATTTACACAATTTTGTTTGGTTCATCTGCGTAATTTTCAATTTTATTAAGTAAACAAGGTTATGTATGTTTTATATATTCTTTATTATGTATAATTTTATAGATAATATCTATGTTATGTATTTTTGAAAATTACACTAACAGCCGATTTCTCTTTAAATAAATAAATAAATTAACAGTGAAAACTACATGGAAATTAGTTATATAATTACAAATTTAAAAAATTAAATACACCTAGAAAAAATGGAAGAATTAGGGAAATTTTGTTTACTTCGCCTACATTCTTTTCACCTTTATAATGTAAATGAGGTTTAGTATATGTTTTACATGTTGTTTATTATGTATAATTTTATAGTTTACATTTACGTTATGTTTTTTGAAAATTATACTATCAGTCTGTTTTTTAATTAAAATAAATTAATTCACAGTGAAAAATATATATATTACTAATTAAAAAATTAAATAAAAGTGGAAATGATGATGGAATTTAGGAAATTTTGTTTGCTTCATCTATGTTAATTTTCAACTATATAAAGCAAACAAGATATATGTATATGTTTGGTATAATTATATAGTTAACGTCTATGTTGTGTATTTTTGAAAATTATACCATCAGTGTTTTTTAAATAAATAAATCAATTAATTAACAGTGAAAAATATAGCAAATTAGTTATATAGTCACAAATTAAAAAAATTAAACAAATGTGGAACTAATGATAGAAATTAGGTAATTTTGTTTGCTTCACCTACGTACTTTTCAACTTTATAAAGTAAATGAGGTTTATGTATATGTTTTACATGTTGTTTATTATGTATAATTTTATAGTTTACATCTATGTTATGTATTTTTGAAAAATATACTATCAGTCAGTGTTTTAACTCAAATAAATTAATTCACAGTGAAAAATATATATATATTACAAATTCAAAAATTAAACAAACATGGAAATAATGATAGAATTTAGGTAATTTTGTTTGCTTCGCCTGCGTACTTTTCAACTTTATAAAGTAAATGAGGTTTTTGTATATGTTTTACGTGTTGTTTATTATCTATAATTTTATAGTTTACTATAATTTTATAAAACTATAAAATTTTATAGTTTTTTATGTTATGTATTTTTGACAATTATACTATCAGTCTGTCTTTCTTTAAATAAATAAATTAATTAACCAAAAAGTACAAGAAAATTAGTTATATATTTATAAATTAAAAAAGTAAATACACCTGGAAATAATGGTAGAATTTGGGAAATTTTGTTTACTTCGCCTGTGCACTTTTAAACTTTATAAAGTAAATGAGGTTTTCTGTATATATTTTACGTGTTGTTTATTATGTATAATTTTATAGTTTACTATAATTTTATAAAACTATAAAATTTTATAGTTTTTTATGTTATGTATTTTTGATAATTATACTATCAGTGTCTTTCTTTAAACAAATAAATAAATTAACCGAAAAGTACAAGAAAATTAGTTATATAATTATAAATTTAAGAAAGTAAATACACCTGGAAATAATGGTAGAATTTAGGAAATTTTGTTTGCTTCGCCTGTGCACTTTTCAACTTTATAAAGTAAACGAGGCCTCCTCTCTAAAGAGAAGGCACCAAAATGCTGAAGGTTCAATAAAAATTGAACACCTTAGAACCGTGAAGTGCCTCTTTATAGACACGTCCGGTCAATTTTGCCTTCCTTTTAAAGAAATATAGACAATTGTGTACAAAAGTCGTGAAAATGTTCAAAAAGTTTTCGACGGTGGCGGCGATCGCCTCTCTCGGCTACGTGTCCTGGCTAGGTGGAAAGGAATCGGAAAGGAGGAAGGTCCTGAAGGAAAAGGACCTCTTGGACACCTGGGGGTCCCGCCTCGGGCTCGGCTCATTCAGGGTTTCCGCCGCAACTCCTTTCAAGTCCAGCCCTACTATAATCACCCAAGACAATCTGGGCCTGGTAATCATAATTAATTTTTACTAACTAATAATTTCAGGGGGTTTATACTGCACTTTTAATAAAACACCAATAAGTACCAGCTTATATGAAGTTTCCTATGTATTTTATACTGAAGAATAATGTAGCTTTGCAGTCTGGTAGCACGTAAATGTGCCAGAGTGATTCTCATTGATGCATATAATTCCTTACATGTACATTATGTCTGCAGTTTGTCTAGGAACCTGATAAAACTTTCTTTCTTTTTCCTTTTAAGTATATATTTTGATTTTTTTTCCAATCCAACAAATCTTGGTTTTCCTGCCTCCAGTTACTTACATTGCTCTCTAATTGTGTGTATTCTTTCCCTACAGAAAGAATCCACACCACGACCTGTAAACGGTGTAACAGGTCTCATCTTGGCAGAGGTTCATTGCCTCTGATTGAAAGAGAGATTTAGTGTACTGGAACAGTGAAGTCTATTAAATGGTGTTTCTTTGACTTTACCGATTCTTTGAGTTTTTATCGATGATTATTATTATTATTTTGTAGGCACTACAGTCCTAATGGACCCAGGCTTGCTCACACATTTCTGCCATTCCTATCATGAGCCTTTGCTTTCCAACATGCTCAAGCGTGGTCTCCCTCTCGTTTAGAGACCCAACAGGTCAATTGAAGAGTCGATGAAGAGTAGAATTTTGACCTTGGACAACCTTTCTTCTTCCATTATTTAAACATGGCCTGAGCTGAGCTCTTTTAATGGGTGTCGTAAAAATCCTTTTCCTCGCATGTGTCACAATCATTTATCAGTTCAGCTAGTCACTTAGGTTTGATTCGCAATAAATTTTTGTTTTTCCGAGACGGGGTTGTCTGCTCCAAGCCCAACCTCCAACATGGAGAATCAGGTCATTTAATTTTGTAGTTTCACTCTTGACTATTTTGGAGTTACCTTTTCCTAGGAAGACTGCATTCACCGAGACTTTGTAGTCTGCATCTTCAGTGTGTAGTTTAATATCTCACCGGGACATTTAATTGATGATAGTCACCTTTTTTTTACTATTTACTACCACTTAAGCTTTTGGTTTTCTAAGTTATGAGCTAGCTACTTGGGAATTGGAGTATCACGTTAATTTCTTTAGGGTCACTAACTAGGTTTTACACACCATTTACCTCTTTATTTCATTTGTCTTTAGTCCTGGAGGTTTCTCGCTGGATTGTGTATTCTTTTACTTTCTATTCAGAATACCGTTAGGGCTTGTAAACTACAGGTACATTTTGCCAGAGCCCCACTTGAATAGAATTAAGCATGAGGCCATCTGGCAGTACATATTCAAAGCGGCCTTTTACCCTCATACACCATAGAATGTTCCTTTCATTGAGGATGAACTTAAAAACGCAGATTTCTGAACACACAATGTAGAGTATAAAATAAAAAGCAAATGTTGATTGATTTATATAAGCTCATGCAAATACACGCACCGAATTGAGCTTATAATTAAAGTTACTTAAGATTTTGGCAGGCCGGGTCAGACAATGGTCTTATCCACTCCACCTTTGAAGTTTCACTCCAGCGGTTGTCAACCATTAGGCCATTTCTGCCCCAAAATCTTGTGGTTTTTAAATCAAGGCACACTTTTTTAAATACATTCTTTCTTATTGACATACCATTCACTCAAATAGGGTGGTGGAGTACTCGATATTCATCCATCATCCTTTCCACATTCTGCATAAAATGGGGTACTCAATGCTTTACAAATTTACGCTAATAAATACATTCATTTTCAATATACACAGAAAATAAACTCATAATGAGATGTCTATCAAGTACTTTATACAATGAAACAGCCCTGTTTCCTCCAAAAATCAGAACAGCAGACCAAATACTCATTGCTGTGCTCAAGCTAAATTTTCATATTGAGTGACATTCCTACACACTCTCTATATGGAGCCAAGGAATGACACCCTTTAAACATTTCTTTTAGGACCCCTGATCTGGGAGGCATGTGGATGATAGCAGTGGCATGCACATCCCTCCGAAAGATCGGCTGCTCTAAGCAAAACTTAAATGTTCAATGAAGGTGGTATTACAGGTGGGTGGAATGCCGTTGGCTGGGCGCCTGTTCGCCTGCCCGATGTGGAAAAAAAAAAAAAAAACATTTCTTCACATGCCGGACACATGCAAACTTTGGCCCAAAAGTGTCCGAGTGTCAACCTTGCATGGCCTATTCTTAATCAGGTTGGGATGATCTCTCTTCTATGATTCGGTGTTAAATTTGAGCAAATAATTTATGTAAATGTCATTGTGAGTTTTACACAAATTTGACCACAAACTTGACATTGTCATACTTTTTAGACGACGACAAACAGCCCGTACAGCGTAAGGGTTTTTGATGACTTCATGCTCGTGTACGACACCAGGAATCGGATACCATTCTTAACATTCGAACATCTCACTAAGGACAACATTAAGAGAGTTGGGGAAGTGACTCGTCAACGCTCTGAATTTACCGAAGACTCAGAGATCCACGAATATTTCAGGTTGTTTCTTTGGTTTTTAGACGAAATTCTTAAAATCATGGTCTAGTGCGCTTCCAGGTCAAAAAATTCCGACTATTTCAAAAGCGGTTATGACCGAGGGCACCTCGCAGCAGCTGGAAACCATATGAAATCCCAGACGCATTGCAACCAGACTTTCACCCTGTCCAACATCGCTCCTCAAGTCGGCGTCGGTTTCAACAGGAACTCGTGGAACCGCTTGGAAAAATACACAAGGCATTTGGCAAGGAAATACCCGAATGTTTACGTCTGCACCGGGCCTCTTTTTATTGAAAAAAGGTCTGTTTCAAATTTTAAATTATTTCATTGATTCAACAGCTTGATTTCAGGGTCGATGGGAAGAAATACGTTAAGTACGAAGTCATCGGAGAGAGCAATGTTGCTGTTCCAACCCATTTCTTCAAAGTCATTTTAGTCGAGAAAGACGATGGCACATATTCGCTACTGCCTTTCATAATGCCCAACGCACCTATTGATGACAATAAGAAATTGGATGAATTTATAGTACGAGTTGTTTTTTTACAAGCATGAGATGATATTAATTGACTTCCTCTTTTTCAGACGACATTGGAAAAGATACAAAAGCGATCCGGAATTATGATTTTTGATGAAATTAGTAAAAGTGGAAAGCTGAAAGAAAAATCTAATAGGCTCATTTAGAAAATTGTGCAATTTTTTAAACTAAACTGAACAGTGGAGAGTTTTATTAGTATTGAAATTATTGGTTAAAAAAAAGAAGGTTAAATTGCTAATTAAATTGTAAATATATATTAGATATGTTTATATTACAATATGTGTATATATTTTTAAATAAATGACAAATTTAATTAAATTATTCAATACAATGTACAATAAAAAATGAACCAAAATTAAATCATTTTAATTGTAGTTTGATCATTTTATCTTAAGGATTGAACAAGTAATTGACAAAATGTACATCTGCCAGATCAAAACCGCAGAGGCAGAACAGGTTTGTTGGAAAGGACCAAACTACTAGTTGAAGACCTCACATAACTCGCTATAATTTTATTATAGTATTATGCGATTTTTATTTTTTTGTTATTTGGTACGAGTTCGTGGTTTTCGAGACAAAGGAGGCTCCGTTTATCACATCTGTACAGTCTCCGTCAGGGATTCTCGGTGGATCCTCTTGTCGTGCTCTTATTAGAAAGATGTGCTGAGTTTGACTAACCGTGCCAGCATGGTTCAACTGCTACAGATGTTCTAATGATGAAAAAATGTAGAGATTGTGCACTCAGAAATTCTGCAAATGTGCAAAAATAAAAGAAATATGCTAAAACAAGAAAAAGTTTGCTGTCATTGTTGATTTGTACATGGTACATATGTATATACTTTGGCTTTTTCTCTGTATTCAAATTTATAATAAAATCTGTATGCACATTTTACATATGTAAAAAAGAGTGCTATTCTTTATTATTAATTTATTTTAATATTTCCCTTCGAAATACCTACAGCTTTGATTAACAGGCCAAAACGGGAATCGGCCAGCGTCCCAGTCCCAAGTTGGCCAGTGACCAGGGGTCACTACTACTGTATGTTTTTTTTCTTTTTATGGTTTAAGTGTTAACATGGCGCTCAGCGCTTTAAGGTAAAGGTCCAGAGTTTGAATCCCACAGCCCTGCATTCAAACCCACCATACCTACAAATGCTCTTTGAAACAAAACACCGACACCCGGAGGGCTCGTATAACCTTGGAGTTGAACAAAAAAACCTTGCCAAATAAAATAAATAAATAAAACTCCTTTTTATTTAATTAGTTATCTATTTATTGTTGATTATTACTTACAATTCCATGTAATTATACTGTTTATCTAAAGTTTTTGGTTGAGATGAAAAAGAAGTGTTACGAGCAGGATTCGAACCCACGACCTTTGGCTCAATACGCTTCTGCTCTAACCACTTGAGCTATTGTAACTTTACGATTGACTATACCTTTTTTTGGAGTCAGTGGCCACAATAGTTTAGGCACTGACACACCACTGATCAACAAAGGTAAAGGTCACTGGTACAAATGTAGCAACTCTGAATTCAAACCTGACATACAGTTTTTTTTAAACACTGGCACCCTGAGGGTTCATATAACCTTGCAGTTGTAATACCCTTGCAAAATAAAATAAATAAAATTAAACACTTTTTAATTAGTTATCTGTTTATTATTAATTATTACTTGCAATTCCAATAAATTATTCTTTTTATCTAAGGTTTTTGGTTGAGATGAAAAGTTAGTGTCATGAGCGGATTCAAACCCACGACCTTTGGCTCAATACCCTGCTGCTTCAACTACTTGAACTATCGTAACTTCATGATTCACGACTAGCTTAAGTGGTTATAGCTGCAGCGTATTATTAGTGATAGCAGCGTAGTATTGAACTGAAATCCGTTAATGTATGTACGGTTTGTAATGTTGAAGTCCTGATTTTTGTAGGATTTTTTATTTTTATTTAATTTATTTATTTGGGTGTCAGTGGTCTTGCAATAGTTTAGGCATGCTGATCACTATAAGGTAAAGGTCCTGGTTCGAATCTAGTGACCCCGCATTCAAACCCAACATACAAATGGGCTTTTTTTTAAATATTAGCACACCGAGGGGTATAAACTCGTTGTAAAAAAAAGATGGTGTTTTTTTTTAGCATAGGAAATGTCCCAATGAAAATATCCTCTGCCAAATTGTCCAATGGTTTTTCTTAAAGTTATCCGCCTTTGATTCGAATTTGTAGTAGAAATAGTAAAGGTTGGGTGAGTATGTAGTTCATCTACTTTAAAAGATAGTTCTTACAGTTTGTTGTTTTACAGTTGAGTAAGTACTATCTTTTGAAGTAGTCGAATTTGTGATGCCATCGGTTTTGAATTGGGGCGGGAGCGGCTTAATGGCGGGAGTGGTTTTTTCGATGACGTCACGGATATCGGTTTGCAAAGTTAGTGGAAGGAAAGCCGCACCCTGCCCAACAGAGTGGCTTGTGTACCGTTTAGTTGTATGTACAAGTTTTTGTAGGTAGATTTGCATGAATCTGGCCGCGTGTCGAGTCCGTCGGGGTTCACATGAATGTGATCCTTGCTCGTTTTGAAATCCGGTACCGTTTTTCCATTTTCGAGCGTACCAGGGAGGCGTAAAAGTGACTGGCAGCTAGCGACGGCCCTACACCGACTGCTGAGGAGCTGGCTGGACAACAATATTCTCGTTCGGGGTATCCAAGGTAAGCGGACCGCCTCCGGGCTTTTATCGGCCCGATTTTACACCGGCGCCCGGCCTCTCCGCCTCCGTAAATTTACGCCGATAAGGGGAAAATCTAGCCTCCAAAATGGCTTCTGTCGGCCATCATAAATGGCAGATGAAAGCCCGATATTTCCTCGGCCGGCGACTCGGCTTTTCAACGTTTCTTTACTTTTTTGGCCAATTTATGAGACGGGGAGGCGGACGACGACCTCGCCCGTAAAGACCCTCAACCCAGGAACAATTTATTTCCACTTCTGGAGATATCAATATTAAACTCGACTAACGTCACACTCCCTGTATATCCTTTAATTTTCCGAAATTTCGGAAAATCTCGACCCCTTTTTATCATAAACGGAAAATATTTTACATTAAATGACCGATAAAACCTTATTTAAATAAAACCTGCACCCACCCGATCCGTACTATCTCACAATAGGAAGTTACAAAAAAAGGGCGTTTTTCCGATAGTCCACACCTGATAATACGGGAAAACCGATAATAATTGTTTTAACAAAAGCTCCTCTTCCGTGCTTCTCATCATCATCACGAGCGATACAACTCCACATCTAATTTAAAATTTAATTATACTAATTCCAACAGATAACTGCCCCACACCAAATGGAATGGATATAATAAAAGTCCATATTGTTCACCAATTTTACAAAATACAACTAAAACTCATTATACTTTATAAAGTGATGTTTTTATTGTTTTATACTTTTTCAAATTACGTCCATACTTTAAACATGTCACTTAAAAAAGTCTTAGGCTGTTATTTATAAAATACATCGTATCAGACTACTTGGCAAACCACTGAAATTGTGTTAGATCCATAATCATAATTCAAAAAATTATTTTTTTTAAAGTCTATATTCTTTGCTAACAAGCTTTACAAACCTTGAAAAAAATGTAATTTTAGTTTAATATTTAGAAGAAAAAACTTTCATTTTGTGCTTAGAAGTCAATGTGTAAGTTGTACGACTCGCTGCTTTATAACCTTCAATGCTTGTGTTGTTATTTTACAATAAACTATTTGTAGACTACATTAAACAAGCTAGTGAAGGATTAATGAGACTTACAATAAAAATGATTTAAAAAAAAAGTCTATACTTTGATAACAAAACTTACAAACCTTGAAAAAAAATCTTCCAATTTCAGTTTAATATTTAGAAGAAAAAACTTTCATTTTGTGCTTAGAAGTCAATGTGTAAGTTGTACGACTCGTTGCTTTATAACCTTCAATGCTTGTGTTATTATTTTACAATAAACTATTTGTAGACTACACTAAACAAGCTCGTGAAGGATTAATGAGACTTACAATAAAAATGATTTTTTTTAAAAGTCTGTGTACTTTGATAACAAGACTTACAAACCTTGGAAAAAAATCTTCTAATATTAGTTTAATATTAAGAAGAAAAAGAACTTTCATTTTGTACTTAATGTCAATGTGTAAGTTGTACGACTCGTTACTTTATAATCTTCAATGCTTGTGTTATTATTTTACAATAAACTATTTGTAGACTACATTAAACAAGCTAGTGAAGGATTAATGAGACTTACAATAAAAATGATTACAAAAAAGTATATATTTTGATAACAACACTTACAAACCTTGAATAAAAATTCTTCTAATTTCAGTTTAATATTTATTTGTGTTAGTTCAAGTTAAATTTTTCACAGCTTAATGGACATAAATAGAATTTACAGTTCAGAGGTCAATTTTTTTTAGGGGCTGTAATGAAAAGTACTGTTCTGGGAATCAAGGTGACATTTTGATGTAGTAAAGTACAATTGAAAATTTGTCTAGGCGCTGGATATTGGATGGATTGGCGAAACTCCATAGGTCCACACTGTACGTCCAAAGTTGGCGCAGTAATGTCTTGTATGGAGGTGAGTTGTGATGGTCAAAACAGCTTTCGGCCCTTAAGTTGTTAGTTGTCCAAGCCTTCTGTTAAGTTGTTTTCTTAAGTCTTAAAGTAGAGTCCTAAGTATTTGACTTTGAGAGCCTGAGTGGAAGTCGGTGTTGTCGGTCTGTTGTTGATATACAGTGTAGGGGTTGACTTTTCCCCCCTCTCTCTTCAATGTAAATGTACATTGTGTACATTTTTCCTCTTTCGGTCTTCTGGACTGTAAATCAACATAGGTTATCAAAACGTGAACTTGTCAAAGATCAATTAAGGCTGTAGTTGTCCAAGGCTTCCTTAAGTTGATGTTTCTTAAGTCTTCTGTGGAGATTCTCGTCTGCTCTTTTAAGTATCTGAGTGAGTGGAAGTTGGTAATTCCGTGTAGTTGATGTACAATGTATGGCTAGACAGTTTTTTTATTTTTTTATTTTATTTTTTATTTTTTATTTTTTTTTTTTTTTAAATGTAAATGACCACTGTATTTCATTAAATTTCGTCTTCCACTTTAAGCACTAATCTTTTGATAATCTTGAAGAGTTCTTTGATGTTGAAGGTTGGTTGGAAAGGATTCGGTTTAGAAGACAAAATTTCGGTATCTTCGGTGGTAATGATGGTATTGAGATATATAGGAAAGTCAGCAGTATAGTATACAGGATGAGACCAAGAATGCTCCCTTGTGGGACGCCGCCCTTACCGGAGCACTCGTCCCACCTCACTCTGAAGCAGCGGACAGTTGAATATGATTCCAGGATAGGGTAATAAGGAGTTGGTAGGAAGCGTTTTAGTTCATAGAAGATGCCTTCTAGTTGATGATCTTTTGATCCTTTTGTGAGGATTTCACGTCAGTCTTCTCTCTAGGTAAGTCGTAAGTATCTGACGTCGTTGCTCCTTGTAGATGTAAAGAGGAAGGCAAGACTGTTTTTTTCCCGTGGGGTCTGCTTGGTTTAAAAGCTAGTTATTCGCAAATCAGTGAGATATAACACAAGCTCAAAGGTCACACAATTTACGACCGTTCAGGGATGAAGAAGGGGACGTTCGGAATTCTGTTGCTCCTTGTTGTTGATGTATAATGAAGACAGTTTTTCGTTTTTAAATGTAAATTTACTGTTTGTACGTTTTTGATCTTTCAGTCTTCTTTGCACCAGGCTTTGATCAAGTTGTTCTTGGTTTCGGGTTAGAAGTCCAAATTCATTATCGCGTTGGTGGCAATGATGGTATTGGGGTGTACAAAAAATCAGTTGTATCGATGGTATAAATGAGGGGACTGAGAATGCTCCCTTGAGAGACGTCAATCTGATGGGTGTGCTACCAATTGCATCCGCACCTCACTTTGAAGCAGCGGTCAGTTAAATAGGATGTAATAAGGAATGGTGGATAGGAAACATTATAGGAAAACAGAGGATGCCTTCTATTAAGTTGTCTTTTAAGTCTTGAGTGGGAATTCCATGTCTGTCTGCTCTTTAGCTGTATTCCTAGCTACAACTCGAGTGGAAGTTAGGAGCTTTTTGTTCCAATTTAAATATACGCTGGATACGTTTTTTCTCAAATCTTTCTTGTCCTCCACTTTTTTCACCAGTATGATAAACTCAAGGTGTTTCGGAATGTTGGAGGTCCTTGGATAGGATTCGGGTTAGAGGACAGAATTGCGGTTTCATCGGTGGTAACGATGGTATCGGGTTGTATATAAAAGGAAGTAGTATAAATGATATAAAGGATGGAACCAAGAATACTGCATTGTGGGATGCCAGATGGTTTGATACCAGAACATTAGTTGCCGCATCTCTGAGCAGCTGTCAGTTAGTAGAATTCAAGGATTCTAAACTGCTCTTTGACTATCGCTGAAACCCCCATAAAACCGTGCGTTAACGAGATATTGACGAAAAAGAGTAAAACTTATAAATTCTGTGTCAGTATCAAACACTGCTGAGTTTTGACGATTGATTTATCAAATGATGCGGTTTCTTACATCCAACACAATTCATTTTCTCTCCAATCGACGAATCAACTGATCGCGGGGTTGGCTATTTTATTGGCTTTTGTCCGTTATGATTGTTTCGGGTTGTTTCGAGGAGAATTTTCCCTTGTGCAAACCTTGCTTCTTGCCAATGCAACAGGTGCCGAAATATTTCGTTTGTTGGACGATTTCGTGATAACTATCAAAATTCCTTGGTCTAATTGGATTGACACGTGCATAAATGGAGTTTTTCGATGACTGACTGGTAGTGATTAGATGGGAGTGATCACTAAAATAAAAATAAATTGAAGGATTGCAGCAGAAGTGATTGTGTTCTTGGTAGACGAGCTTTACACTTGCCAGCCTCTTTTAAGAAAGTTTTGTATCAAGTCGCGGCCATTGAAGTCGAGACTTTTCACAATACATACTATATGACCATATGGGAAGCCTTCATCATTCCCTGCTTCACCATAGAGAATCGTGGGAAAACACTTTATGAGTACAGGAATCTGAAGTCTCTATCTTAGTAGAAGGACCACAATGCCATTTGCTAACGATTTCAATGATGAGAAATAGCAAAGAATATCATATTTTTCATTGTCATAAAAATGAATGAGATGAATCTTTCTTTGCAAGGGAAGGGTATCTCAACTTTCAATGCTAATGACGAAGTTTGCTCCTTTAGAAGAAAAATCCAGTTTTGGGTCGAATCTGTTGAGAAGGAAGAGGTTTTCTTGTGTTGAATGATTAAAAAGAAAAAAAAAAGGAGCTTGCGAACAGCACGTAGATGGATGAAATATGTGAATACCTTCGAAGTTGGTGAACATTGAGCATGACCCAACACCTCCAGATTCAATGCTGCAAGACTTGGTGATTAAACAGTTTTCAACAGTTCAGTTTCGGCAAAGCCAACCAGTCTATCTTCAAGTGAATAGGATTGTTAGATAGCCATTACTTCAGACTCCACCTTGAAATCTACTTTAGAGCCGTTATTTACTCTCATTTCCGGTTACGTCCGAAAATAAAAAAAATTCAACTTATGCGAGTCCGGGTTTTCTATCTCTACAGTCACCAAAACTAAATACCGAGCTGTCTAGATCCTGAACCCGATATCCGTCTCCA